GCAAAAGCAACCCAGGAGCTTTTTAAGGAAAAGAAGTGAAATATTCTGCAATGTGGCCGAGTCATTCACCTGACCTCAACCCAATTGAGCATGCATTTCACTTGCTGAAGGCAAAACTAAAGGCAGAAAGACCCACAAACAAATAACAACTGAAGACAGCTGCAGTTCGAGCCTGGCAAAGCATGAGAAAGGAGGAAACCCAGTCTTTGGTAATGTCCATGTGTATAAAAATGGTTGCAGTTCCTAAAATTTGTACTTGACATTTATGTTCAACCCCTTGAATTAAAGCTGAAAGTCTGCACTTCAAATTCATTTTTATTGTTTCGTTTTAATTTATTCTGGTGGCAAATATATATGGACCTAACTGTATGTTATGAACTCAGGACAATTTGGAGAAAAAACATTTCACAGCAGATAAAAAATGTTTTATACTATAATAAAGCATAATAAGCCACATTAAAGCACAAGTAATAACATTATATAAAAATGGATCAAGGAATTCTGTTCTATGACCAAATACTATTTTGATAGTATTATGTAATGGTCACAATGATTATAAATATAATAACTGGAAATCTCAAAGGTCATCTCCGGGGTAAGGAACATTCCTCCCTTGCAGTGGGGCTGGTCTGTAATGCAAGGTTTAAATGTTTTATTATGTCTAGGGGACCGGGAACAGCAGTTTAAGGCTTAATTTACACTCAATGTTGGGTGGGGTAAAACAGGCTGTTGAGCCGTGCTTTTTCTGCTCTTCAGAGACTGGATAGAGAGAAAACAGGTGGCGCACATGGCATGTATCTAAAAAGCATAGAAAAATGACAATGGCCACAACGGCAGGCAAGGTGTTCTCACTGTCAGTGCGGTCAAATGGCTGACGCGTTTCGGGGACGAATCCCTTTCCTCAGAGCTGATGACCAACCTTCGTAGTTGCAGTCACTGTGAAGCAATTTTTAAAAATCACAATAAAAGCAGAGATGTTGTTTCAAGCACTTTTCTTCCTTCCCTCTTCCTGCACTGACAACTCACAGCTGGTGGTGGGGAGCTATTATTCTTTCACTCCTACAATAAACCTTGGATAATGCACTAGGTGTGTGCGCCACCTGTTTTCTCTCTATCCAGTGGCTGATTTCCCCGTCTGAGGGGGGCTGCACCCCTGAAGCATTTCCTTTGGTTGTCGCTGTCCTGGTACCCTTGGCTTCCCTTTTGGCTGTGCATATCCTGAGGCGCTAGAGAGTACATATGATATCCGGTTCGGGTCTTTTTCTGCTCTTTAACCTCTCCCCCTCTGGCTGTCAAACACAAAGAAATCCACAACATATCACTCCTCAGGGGGAATGATCCCTTACCTCAACTGATCCTCTGGATGCTGGGGAAGCGGAGGATCAGTGGAGGTAAGTGCTTATTTGGATACACATGCCTTGACCCTCCAAGGAGCAATCTGTGGTGGATCACTTTTCAGAGGGTGTTAGATGTCCAGTGAGGAGGCATTTTATTTTACAAACACATGCACCACTGGTTGCAGCACAGCCCCATTTGCTTGAATGGGTTGCAGTTGGGCAACCTACTGAATGGCGTATTTTACCCATGTGCAGCTGCCTTTACAGGGGGAGCGGTTGGGAGGTAGTAAAAATGCAGCTCAACTCTTCTGTGTTCTGGCAGTGTGCTGTCTGTTGGCATTCTTGCCCGCATTGCAGAGGTTCTGCATTGGACCTTATTATGGCAGAGAACCTGCAACCATCAGAGCTTAGGGGAAAAGAGGCTGCAGGTATAGGTCTTACAGCTTAGAGAAACCCTGCAGAAGGGGGGGATCATGTGCTTCCCTAGGCGAAACAAGCATTTAACCCTTACAGTGTGGGTCAGCCCTACTGAAATGGAGAATTCTTTTTTTTTTTCCCCTGCTGTTCAGTTTTAATCTTATTGTACTTTTTCCTTGTTTTACAGCATTCTCTTTTTCCTGTTTGAGGTGTAATTAAATCTCTTTTGTCTATAGAGCACAAGAGTAATGTGGACTCCGCCACTACGTGAAAGCTTTTCATATCCATTCCTTGTCCTGCAGATGTTGCTGCTTACGTACATCTTAAGGTACGAATCTTTACAGATATTCTGAAAAAAAAGATCACAGAAAACTACATTTTAACTAAAATTGTAATTCTAGGCCTAGTGATCTGTTTAGGCCCAGTCTCTGTACTGTTATTTGGTATTCAGTGCAAAATACCTTTATCTGGCAAAGGCTATTTCATGATCACATTTCTTGTTCATGTATGAGGGCATCGTTTTACTGTTTCTGTGGTTACTTGTACAATCTAACAAATTGCTGCTACAAACTCACTGCATAGTTAGGCTGAGCTCCTTGAAATTCTTCCTCATAGTTGAGAGGGCTTTACTTGCTTTGAATCTGTTTGGTGACCGCGCAATGCAAACCTGTACTATACCCAGGAATGCAAAAATGCATAGCCCAAGACCATTAAAATAAATATGCCATGAGTAAATTCCCATAAGACAAGAATTACACCCTAAAAGATCCTTTAAGATTCTGGCCAAATCTTTACTTTCTGTGAATAAAACATCTACATAACCATTTTAGAAGTTCTATAGGGCAAGGTTGAATTTACATTAAAGGTTATTAAAGTGCATCTCTTTTTATAGTATCTCTGTCAAGTTATTATTGCTCTGTATTTGTACTGGTGACCATTGTCACCAAGAAAGAAAGTGAGGGAAAATTCAACATTTTTATATAACAAGAAGTACAGGGAAACCTTCCAATGGGAACACCTGTTCCAAGGACAAGGGACTGTCCAAGAGGAGAATTTCTCCTAACTTTGGGCAATTTCCTTCACTTCCGGTTTTAAAGACCCAAAGGGAAGTTAAAAGGAAAGTTCACTAATAATACACAGACCGCAAAAAAAGGCTTTTTTTTAACCCTCTCCTATTTTTAAAACTAGACAATAAAAAGAAAATGTTTTGGCTATGCATACTTTGGTTTAGCAATACCTTTTTAAAGTGACTGTACACATTTAAATAAAAAAATAAATGTCATACTTACCTGCTCTGTTCAATGGTCTTGCAGAGCGCAACTCTGATCCTTCTCTTTTCGGGTCCCCTGCCAGTGCTCCTGACCCCTCCAGTCTGCCAAGTGCCCCCATAAATAGCTACTTGCTATGGCAGCACGCATGCTTGCTCCTCTATAGACACACAGAGCACTGCTCGACTCTACCCCTTGCTCCCTCCTTACTGGCTTTGATTGACAGCAGCATGTGTGAGGCAATGAGGAGGGAGAGAGCCAAGAGAACCCCTGCTCTCTTGCACATCGCTAGATCAAAGTCGGCCTCAGGTAAATATTAGGGGGTGCTGAATACGAAGGGGTTTTTTTAACCTTAATGCAGACAGTGCGTTAGGGTAAATAACCTTCATCCAGCTGTTCTCGGACCAAAACTGAAATTCTCGGATTAAAATCCACACTGGCTTACTGTTCAATGCACCTAAATTTTCCCATCCTGGTGATACCATTAACATGAGGTAATCTGAGTTCAGTTTCAAACTAAGAACACTTATTTTTTACTTTTAATTAGAGGCTCTTTTCTGTATATTACTCGAATCCTGGGGTAGTCTATTACTAAAAGCCCGGCTTCTTTGATTTCAAACTAATTCTTGGAGCAAAGCTGCCCACCACTACCCGATCAGGTGCCTTCACTGGATAGAGCAGTGGTTTTCAGTTTATGAGCTAAGGGGGGCCCTAAATGCTGCCCCTGACCTCACCAAAGGTTCACACAAAAGGCTCAAAATATGCAATCCTTGAGAGGATTGTCTGCAATGCTTGAGAGGATTGTCAGAAACTGCTGACCTAAAAGAGGAAATGAGGGTTCGAGATTGTGAAACATTCTACATTTTTGGCTGGGGATATGATACAGAAGACAATCCAAAACTGGGCTAGTAGAGGTCAGTGCTATTACCCTAATGTTCCCAGGTTGGAGACCTGCACATCATATACTAAACGGTCACAGGTTGGCCACCAAAGCAAATTAAATTTTGAAGTGCTTGCAAAGGACATTTGTCAAATCTCTGATGACATTATTGAATGTATGAACAAGTTTTTTCGCATAACTCTTCATTCAAAAAACATCTGCCAGTTTATGGTCATTATTAGCCTCTGTTGGTAACCTACTGCACCCAAAATTAGAGACCATAAAGAACAGGATATGTTCGCTTGTTAAAAAGTAAGCACCTAATGTTTGCTTTTGGCTTTTTAAGATTTATTAGTTTAAAATGCTGACAGTATAATTGTACATGTCCAGATAAATATATATAAAATTTAGTTCTCATTGGAAGATTCTGCTGATATAACAATATTTTGGTGTTTGTTTTATAGGACAACGAACATTGGTAGAAGAAGTCTGATTGCACTTTGTGCTTCTAATGTCTTTTTTATGCTTCCATGGCAGTTTGCCCAGTTTGTTCTTCTAACACAGGTAAGCTGTGTTTCATAGCTACTATACTATACTGTTGTACTGTTGCTATACTACTTATGATGAATAGTCTAGATAATACCAGTATATATGATTCAGTGCAAATAAACTGTGTAAATATGTTTTTAACCACAAGCCTAAAGGGCACTTATACCCCCTTCCTGCCCAGGACAATTTCCAGCTTTCAGCGCTGTCGCACTTTGAGTGACAATTGCGTGGTCATGCAACACTGTACCCATATGAAATTTTTATCATTTAATCACCTCCTGGGTTTTTTATTTTTTCTTAAACAAACCAAAAACCACTGAAAATTTTGAAAAAAAAAAAAAGTTTTTTCTTAGTTTTTGTTATAAAATTTTGTAAATAAGTGATTTTTCTTCTTCACTGATGTGCGCTAATGAGGCTGCACTGATGGGCACTGATGGGCTTCACTGATGGACACTGATAGGTGGCACTGATGAGGAGGCACTAGTAGCTGGCACTGATGGGCATTGACAGGCATCACTGATGGGCACTGAAAGGCAGCACTGATATATGGCACTGATAGGTGGCACTGACTGGCACTGATAGCGGCACTGATAGGCGGCACTGACTGACACTGATGGGTGACACTGAAAGGCAGCTCAGATGGGCACTGATATGTGGCATTGATGTGCACTGGTAGGGACTGATATGTGGCACTGATGGGCACTGGCACGAGGCACTGATGAGCACTGACACAAGGCACTGATGGACACTGACAGCTGGCACTGCTGGGGCTACACTGATCATCAGGGCACACTGATCATCAGTGCCCTGATGATCGGTGTACATGTCCCCTCCGCGGAAAGCCGATTACCGGCTCTCCTCTCCTCTCAAGCTGTCAGCGTGACAGCTCGAGAGGAGAGAAATGCAGATAACCGGCATTTCCCTGTTTACGTGTGATCAGCTGTGATTGGACACAGTTGATCACATGACCGAGCCGACATCTTCGGCTCTTTCCGTGATCGGTGATTCGCTGTGTCCGAGGGACACAGCACACTGCCGATCGGCACGCTACGTGCTCCCTGAGCTGCGCATGCACGGTGAGAATGGGAGGACGTCATATGACGTCCTCCCACAACGAGAGAACCACCTTGCGTCCGTCATATTACTATATGGCGGGCGGGAGGTGGTTAATGTTCTTTATGACAAATCTTGATTGACCTTACTTTTTTTTATAACCAAACTGTGTTGCTATGCAATTATTGACTTTATGAAAATGCCTGTCTGCAGTACATAGAAAAGCAAAGAGACCCAGTGATACCATCACTGAATCTATGAAAAAAACTATTCTCATTTCAGTAGCATGTTGGTTGGGGGGGGGGAAATGAGGAACCAGGGAAAGCAAAATATAAGCAGATAAAATTAAGGCTTTAGCCCTTATCTGTAAATCCAGCAGCAGCATGATATATATTATTTGATTTTTTTTCCAGATTGCCTCACTGTTTGCTGTATATCTCATTGGCTGCCTTGATTCAGACAAGTTTTTAAAAATTCTGTATACACACATGGTAAGGATTTCTATATCACACATTTATACGATGTTGTTATTGTTATTATTTAAAAAAAATATATATATATATATATATATATATATATATATATATGTGTGTGTGTGAAGGAAATAAGTATTTGATCCACTGCTGATTTTGAATGTTTGCCCACTCACAAAGAAAGGATCAGTCTACAAAATCGAATCGTAGGTGTATTGTGACACTTAGAGACAGAATAGCAACAAATATTTCAAAAGAAATGCATGTCTAACAAATTATGCACTGATTTGAATGTTCATGAGGGAAATAAGTATTTGATCCCCTTCACAAAACATGACTTAGTACTTGGTGGAAAATCCCTTGTTGGCAATCACAGAGGTCAGACATTTCCTCTAGTTGGCCACCAGGTTTGCACACCTCTCAGGAGGGATTTTGGCCCACTCCTCTTGGCAGATCCTCTCCCAAGTCATTAAGGTTTGGTGGTTGACATTTAGCAACTTGAACTTTCAGCTCCCTCCACAGATATTCAATCGGATTAAGGTCTGAGACTGGCTAGGCCACTCCAGGCCCTTAATGTGCTTCTTCTTGAGCCACTCTTTTGTTGCCTTGGCCGTGTGATTTGGGTCATTGTCATGCAGGAACACCCATCCACAACCCATTTTCAATGCCCTGGCTGAGGGAAGAAGGTTCTTACCCAAGATTTGACGGTACATTGCCCATCCATCGTCCCTTTTTGATGTGGTGCAGTTGTCCTGTCCCCTTAGCAGAAAAACACCCCCAAAGCAGAATGTTTCCACCACCATGTTTGACAGTTGGGATGATGTCCTTGGGGCCATAAGCAGCATTCCTCCTCCTCCAAACATGGCGAGTTGAGTTGATGCCACAGAGCTTGATTTTGGTCTCATCTGACCACAACACTTTCAACCAGTCCTCCTCTGCATCATTCAGATGTTCAGTGGCAAACTTCAGATGGGCCTGGACATGTGCTTTCTTGAGCAGAGGGACCTTGTGGGCACTGCATGATTTCAATCCTTGTCCGCGTAGTGTGTTACCAATTGTTTTCTTGGTGACTGTGGCCCCAGCTGCCTGGAGATCATTGATAAGATCCTCACATGTAGTTCTAGGATGATTCCTCACTGTTCTCATGATGATTGACACTCCATGAGGTGAGATCTTGCATGGTGCACTGGACTTAGGGAGACTGACAGTTGTTTTGGGTTTCTTCCATTTGCGAATGATTGCACCAACTGTTGTCACCTTCTCACCAAGCTGCTTGGCAATGGTCTGGTAGCCCAGTCCAGCCTTGTGTAGGTCTACAATCTTGTACCTGACATCCTTGAACAGCTCTTTGGTCTTTTATACAGGTAACAAAATGAGATTAGCAGCACTCCCTTTAAGAGACTGCTTCTAATGTCAGCTTGTTACCTGTATGAAAGACACCTGGTAGCCAGAAATCCTGCTGAATGATAGGGGATCAAATACTTATTTCCCACATGAACAAGCAAATCAGTGCATAATTTGTTAGACGTGCATTTTTTTTGAATTTTTTGTTGCTATTCTGTCTCTCAGTGTTACAATACACCTACCATTCGATTTTTAAACTGATCATTTCTTTGTGAGTGGGCAAACATTCAAAATCAGCAGGTGTGCGTGTCATTCAGACTGGTAGACAATATTGATAAAATGTTCAAAGTTAGATTGGGGCGAGCAGTTGTTGGCTGTTTTTTTTTTTTTTTTTATATCAATAGCAGTTTTGTAATACTCCATACAGTGGATATAATGTGCACTTGAAAACCTAGATTATCAGTTGTAAAATATTATACTTCATAGACACAAGTATTTTTTCAGCATCATTTATTGTACTGCTCCTCTGCATGACCTTTACATTTCTTCCAAGTTAACACACTACTTCTGACTTGTCTTCAGGTTTCATTGGCACTTTGTGTAATACTGATGTTTGGAAATTCCATGCTGTTGACATCCTATTATGCTTCATCCTTATTGATTATTTGTGTAAGTACTTGGAAAAGGGAATAGCATTAACTCCTGTTCTTTGAACTGTATGTGGTGACTTAGCCCTGTTATCTTGATGTGCTCCATTAGCTTTTATGGCAAATTCGTAACTTACCAATATGTTTGCATTCTAAAGACACTTTTTATTTATTTATTTTATATATCTTACAGCTAATTGTTAAGAAGAGAATAATTGCGAGCCTTAAAATGAATAAGTTTGTGAGTTGGGTAAGCTTTTGTACAACTTTCGCCTGTTTTATTTGTGTATTTAATTTTGGTAGAGCAATAGACTGCTATTGCTGTATGATTTATTTGTAGTATTGGAATAGAATAAGTAGTAAAGTTAATTGTAGCTTAAAGGTACCTTGAAACATCTACCTTTTACATTGAATCTGCATTCAGAAGTTGAAGTTAATTTCCTGCTCTGCAATGTGAGATTACCAAAGGTATATCCCACTCACTCCTGCCTTTCATAAATTTAAGAAACTTGGAGTGTCATCCGGAGCACTGTAATGACACTTGGGGATGTAACTCCTTCGTTGGTTATTGTTCTGCAGTGGGCATTATGCTACCTATTGAGCTCTCTATCTGGCCCGTGCTGCTGCAGTCTAAAAATCTGTGCCTCTGCTGCCTTTAGAACCCTGCCCTCAGCACACATCAGTTTACCATTAACAGGGACAAGGATAGACTGACATGAGGAAGCTAGGCCCTGCTCCTCTACAAAAAATGTTTGCCACTGCAGACACAGTACAATACATTTTTAGTGAGTCTCAGGAAAAAGGTCAACTGCAGGGACCCTATAGCCCATACTAATAACTAGTCTTGGTCCTCCGAGACCATTTCTTTAGGACACAGGAAATATAGGTTCTCGTCACCTATCTAAATTAAATGAAGCCCTATTTGGCATGTTTTTACTGTGATTAACCAAAAACAAATCATGTTTAAGTACATCCCACAGTTCAGCTATTAGATCTATATACTTTGCACACCCAGCATTGGTAGCCCATCCTCTTTCATGGCTAGTCTCAGCCTTCAGCTGTGCATCTAGGTAGAAAAGTGGAAGCCACACTTTAAAAACAATAGTATTTCTTTATCGTACGTCATGGAACACAGAGCAGGCTATTCATGACTGTGGGTTATAGGCCACCTATAGGTGAATAGACACTGGCCGACCAATCAGAGAGGAGGTCCCCCCCTATATAACCCCTCCTATACAGGAAGTACTTCCATTTTTTTTTTTCACCAGGTTTTTTGTAAGGTGGATGGTCACTGAAAGTGTTACTGTGCTTTTGGAGCATACCTGAAAGTCCAGAGCGGTTCCTTTAGAAAAACAGGGACTTTTATCGGATCCATTTGGAAGGCTATGAGCTAAAATGGATGGTACCCAAGCCTCGCTGGACAAGGAGAAGAATCCTTGAGGAGCCGCAGAGGATTCTGCCTTTGGCTGCAGTTTGTTACGAATGACTGAATAGGTCCTGAATGACTATTGACGGTGGCTATCATGGTGTCACCCTCCCCTCAAATTTCTTTATTGTTTTAGGACATCCCACATAGCCTGCTCTGTTTCCCATGATGTACGATAACGAAAATGTGATTTTTTTTTTTTTTTTTTTTTTTTTTTTTTTTTTTTTTTTTCTACATATTTACCTGTAAAATCCATTTCTTGGAGTACATCATGGGACACAGAGGTCCCGCCCCTCTTTCTGGAATTTCAATGCTTGCTACAAATACTAAAGTACTTTCTGTGTATGAGGGGTTATATATGGGAGGACCTCCTCTCTGATTGGTCTGCCAGTGTCCATTCACCTATAGGTGGCAAATAAACCACATAGTCATGAATAGCCTGCTCTGTGTCCCTTGATGTACCCCAAGAAATGGATTTTACAGGCAAGTATGTAGAAAAAAACATCCATTTTTTTCTGGTTTTAGTTACTGTTGTCCTTATCCATTGTTTTATACTTCTAGATTTTACAGATTTGGGCTTGGATTTTTGGTACCGTAATCCTAAAAGCACTCATTTCTAGGGTACTGGGTGTTAGAGATGATGTAAGTATTAAATGTTACCATATTTTCTTAGTTACTTCAAATATGTTGTATATGGAGTGTCAGTGAGCACTATGGGTGTGTAGAAAGGTATAAGCTGCTGGCACTAAAGGACTGCCCTTGCTATCCTCACTAGTGAATGAAATATAAAAGGTGCAGTGCTAACATAATGAATGAATCAAATGAAATACTTCTTAAACATGTGAATATACATAAATAAATAATAGATGATGATAAGGTGAATAGAAGCAGCAATAGAACAAATCGCATCAATATTAAAAAGTGAGGCGCTCTGATCAGCGCTACCAGTCTAAAGTGTGAGTTCATGAATTATTAATATGGAAGTAAGTTGTTTATATACTATTTGTACTCTTTACGTGGATACTCTGTACCTTTAATAAAGTACTACACTATTAGTCGATTTTCTCTGGCTCTTTTGTGAGCTAACTCCTTAGGATTTCTCATCGCGGTTTGCATGCTGCTTGGTGTCATCATCCCTATCTGAGCTCATTCTGGCCTTCATGGTCCTATGACTGATGGGTGTGCTGCCTGACTTATCTGGGGAAGAAACCAGCTGTTCATGCGCATTTTATATGCGCTTCTGATGATTGCATATAAAGGAATACTTTTCACGGATTCATCCGCACTGGATGTCACCTGTTCACGGATTTTTTTTTTTTTTGTTCTGGACTTTTTTATAACTATTGTTTATCGCATTCAACATTTGATATATGTTCACTATCAGTCACTATTCATTTTATATCACCCAATGCTGACCACTTAGTGTCATAGATACCATCTCCACACTTATCAGTATATTAATTATTGCTATATTAATAATTCATGAACTCTCACACTTTGGACTGGTAGCGCTGATCAGAGCGCCTCACTGTGTCTGCTTTTTATTATTGCTGCTATTTTTTCTATTGTTCTATTGCTGCTTCTATTCACCTTATCATTTATTTATTTATGTATATGCACATGTTTTAGAAGTATTTAATTTGATTCATTACGTTAGAGCTGCACCTTTTATATTTCACTTCAGATATGTTGTTGTCGTTTACTTTTATTATTATTATGGGTAACCTAATGTACCTTAATTGTACAGTACAGGACACAGACATAGTATTCATTGACCCTGGATTATAGACACATACCTTCAGGTGATTGGACACTGCCAAAGCTTTAGGGGACACATACCTTCAGGGCACCTCCACTATAACCTTAACCAACTCTATGAATCCTCAGTTTTTTTCGCTAGTGGCTTAAGATGATGGAATGATGGACCACTTTTCCTTCCCAAAGAAATCCCATTTAGGTTTAAGTAGTTTATCTTCGGATTCTTTAGTTAACGTTTCAGTCTGTTGGGGGAAAAGGCAATCTTTGGGTGGCCAGTTATATACATTGCAAACAAATTCTTAGCTGCTTCTGTTCTCTGGATACCGAACTGAAGAAATTATTGCAAACTGCTAAGAAAAACAGATGTTTCCTAGTGTTGTAAAAAAAAGAAAATCTGCATCTTGGCATCCCTTTTAGATATGCAGTACCCTTTTTCAAACCCACATTAGAATACCCAAGGATGGTGCTGAGGATTCCTTAAATTTTACCTTTAAGGGCTCTTTCATATGGGCAGACTCGCCAAACAGAGCAGCTCGTTTATTCTCATCTGCCCATTATTCTCTATGGTGTGGTCGGATGTAAACGGACCACATATCCAGCTGTTCTGATCCACTAGACAGTTGGGGAACGGATCCCCTATCCATCTTGTTTTAGTGGATTGGATCGGATGCCGGCTAGTGTAAACGGGCACATGTCCATTTACATTCGCCTCCCCATAGAGAACAATGAGTGGCAAGCAGGAATTTTCTGGAAGTATACTACACACTGAGTTCTGAATGCCCTCTGTAATGCCAAATTGAAATGGAAAGGTGATTTAAAATTAAAAAAAAAACAGATTACGTAACAAATATTTTTTTAGCCAAGATGGTGTTTTCTGTAAAAAAAAATTTTTTGTTTTAATCATGCTTTTAGATTGATGGAACAGATAGCTTTTCATCAGAAGATGACAGCGTATCATTGACTTCTCTTTATTTCTTTATATAGTACTATATTTCACAACTATTTACATCAAGAGCTGAATCATTGAGGCTTGTGCCCACAAATGAGGTTCAATTATTATTAAAGTATAGAGTCAAATAGACACAAATTCCAGAGCTCAGTTGATCAAAAAGTAATGCAGCTGTGTGTTTTAGATCACAGGTAAGACCAGCAGTCACTTAGAAATCCATAGAAAATGTGAGATTGTGTAAACCTCATACTGACATTGCCCTGATGAGAATCCAATACTCCAAGTACTGTCCACTCTTAAAGTAAATATTCCATCTACTAAATGAACATAGTCACAAGATGTCTTCTAAGTCTAGAACACTCTTCAGAACACTCTTCAGACTTATGAGTGATGCAGCGACCACTGAGAAATGATGTTCGTAATTACTTTTAAAAATACTGGAATGTACCATTTGTCTGTTTTTTCCAGGCACATATATTCAACATACTAAAATCAAAGTTTACCAGCTACAAGGATTTTGACACTTTGATGTATACCTGTGCTCCTGAGTTTGACTTCATGGAGAAAGAGGTACTGTGTGTATTCTTGCTCTTCGTATAACATATTCATGTAGACATGTTTTTGGTTTTTTTTTTTTGGGGGGGGTTGCATAATAGCCTAGTCAGCCTGGAGATAGGGTAGTGTTAAACTAGTAGATTTAGATAGACTTGCCTAAGACATTGAAGCCAAACTCCAGCTAACACTTTAGCACTTTACATAAATATAATGTGATCAATGTAAGCACCCCAATCAGTGTTAAACGGTTTGTCTCAACCCTTCTAATGCTACTTTGAATAGCTTGAAAAAACAGACTTACTGGCAGGATCACCAGGTGAAAATAAAGGAGAAAAGCCTAAAAAAGAAAACGCATGCAACCACCATATCTAAGAACTGGCAAGCTGCAATATAATATTTTTTTTTTTTTCTTTTGTTTTTATTATTTTTTTGTTCAATCTAAGTTTTATTAAGGGTTTATATAGAATACATAGAGAACAGCATCCAATAAAGACAGTAAAAATAAAATGCAGAGAATAAAATACAAGCTTAGATTAGAGGGAGGGGGACAAAAAATAATAAAAAGGGGAATACAATAATAACCAAGATAAACAGACATAAAGAAAAAATAGATAATAAAACGAAAATAACTGTCCTGGGACTGGGCGATGACCGTGTCCAGTACCAAGTACAGAGCCCATGACTATATACAAAATGGCATACAATATACGAATACCTAGCCCAAGGAGGGTGCAAGCATCACAACCAGTGAAGACAACAGATCATTAGTTAAACTGTTAAGAGCTAAACAAGGCTTGTGGATGGAGACTAGTCCTGAAGGAAGATGGATGGGATGTACTAATGAGAACCATCTGTTGTCCTGTCTGGTCTAGCACCAGAGATGAAGGAAAGAAATAAAAAGGGGGAGGGGGGGGAGGAGTAAAGATACCTTCACCTGGGAGGAAATCTCCCAGTTGGGCCCAAAGGACAGACTCCCATTTAATTGACCAAGAGGTCTCACAAAGCAGAAGATTCCCTATATATATTCCAATGGAGCCATATCTGATGACAGCGTTCAGTTCATAATTTCCCAATTCCTGTGCCAGATGTGACTCCATACATTCAATATTATCTATCTCCTTTACCCACTCCAGAAGGATCGGAATGCAGGATGTTCTCTAATGGCGGGGATTGGTCAATCTGGCAGCAGTCAGACACTGATTTAAAAGTCCACGTTTAATATGTTTGAAAGAGCCAGGCAAAAGAGAAAGCAGAACAATCTGGGTGTACTTGGGACTGCCAAATCTGTAACTGTGGTATAAACATGCAGTATGAGATGCCAGTAAGCTTGAATGGGAGGACATTCCCACCAAATGTTGCGCAAGGAACCAGGAGCAGCGTCACAACACCAGCATAGGTCAGGAGTGAAGGGAAAAATCCTATGAAGTAAGGTGGTACATCTGTAACACCTAGTAAACAATTTGAAATTGGTTTCCTGTTCTTTGCTGGCTAGGGACAAACAGAGTAATTGCAAATTATTTTGTCCATTCTTCATCAGACAATTGAGCATCAGTATCAGCCACTTATGTGGATGTATATGATGGGAGATCGGGGGTGGACCTTAGAAGAATCTGGTAGATTGCAGAAAAAGGGCGTACGGGAGAAAGATATTGCAGGAAGTGATTCTAATGTTATAGGATCACTGGTCAGTAATTTGTTAGGAAGAGCATGGAAAAAAGAGCAAAGTTGTCTATACTCCATCCATTGGGCAAAAGAGGCTCATCCCAAGGCATGTGAAGGTTGAAAAGGTAGGAGACGTCCCTTGCGAAGTATTTGCGTTAGTCGCCTGTGAGTGTTTTTGTTCTACAGAAGGAAATGAGAGCAAGATAGAACTGGAAGAAATTGAGGGTTTCCAAATAAAGGGATCATAAAGCCGACAAGTGAGGAAACATCAAGTTTCAGGGTCAGGTTGTCCCACGTGTGCAAGAGATGGTTAGTCAGGAGTGGTAAGGAGGAAGGGCTCCTAAACTCCAAAGCCATCCAGGGAAGAGCAAGAAGGTCACATGGTGGTTTGTTCCATTGACACCAAATGCTTGGTAGACGAGTGGTGGAACTAGTTCAACAAGCAGGTGAGAACTGCTGCCGCATGGTGTAAATGGAGGTCTGAAAATTATAAATAAAAACTCAAGCGCTTACTATGGTAAATTTAAATAAATAACTACGTTTGATAAGTGAAATGCAAATGCTGTAGCCACTAGTGCACACAACCCATGTCTTGGTGGGCTAAATGATAAGTGAAATACAGAGAAAAGCAAAAAAACAGAGATGTGACTCAAACAAATTATATTAAAAATAACTGAATAATTAAACAAAGTCCAATCAATTTAATGTTCTTCTGTGAACCCTCCTTAAGATAACGACCACCATGTGCAGCTGTCACAGAACTCCAGTGCAAAACAGCCTCCACCACAAAATCTGCTCACCTTTAGCGTTGTGACCTCACATTTTACAATGTTTTGGTCTAACTGAGCTTTTGGTCCCAAATATATGAACTGTGTAGATCAACTTGCTGAATAATGGCTCCCAGGATGCCCCTTCCAGATAACCGCCTTAATGTCAGCCATATTCCTCATAAACAAAAGCTCAACATAGCACTTTATCCTTTAAAAACTTTTATTGCACAATAAACATAAGAAATGCACTCACATTCAATAGGTGCATAACCGCGCCAGGTATGATGAACATCCAGTAATGTACTAATTATGCACAAGATGGCAGTATCATCCCCAGCAGCATAGCCCCATCAAGGCTCCAAAACGTCTCTGCACTGATGTTTTGGAGCCTTGATCGCACTTATAAGCACTTATTTCACTTATAATATTTTATAAATGGAGTTCTGGCACCCAGCCCCACCCTTGTATTTAGGGAGAGTTAGAGATATTCTGTGTAATCTTGGCTTCTGTGGGCCCCAAATAAACTTCGTAAAAGCAGTTTGAAGAAGAAGGGCTGAGGGGTAGCTATAGGCAGAGTTTGGAAGAGGTAAAGGAAACAAGGTGTGATGTCCATTTTTTAGTATGTTGATCCAGCCAAACTATAAGTATAAGGATCGATCATAGTTCTGGAGGTCCTTCAAGGTGTGCTGAAGTAGAGGTGTATAAGTTTCAGAATATAATTGAGAAAGATTAGAATGGATTCTGATGCCCAGGTACTTGAGGTTCCCAGAACAAAATTTGAAAGAGAAGCTATCCTGCGTTTCTCTCACCTTTTATGTAGAGGCAGGAACACATTCATAATCTCAGATTTTGTAAGATTGACCTTGATGTTGCTGAATTCACTGTACCGCTGGATTTCTGCTAGGATAAAAGACAGAGACGTATGCAGGTTGGAAATGTAGAGCAGTAAATCGTCTGCAAAAAATAGAACTAATATCGCCTCTTCCGAGCCAATGAATACACCGGTGATATTGGGGTTGTTACGGATTGCTACTGCTAAGTGTTCCAAAACCAGGACGTACAGAAGAGGGGATAATGGACATCCCTTCCGGGTGCCATTAGTTATGGGGACACTCAACATTGGGGAACCATTTAGGCGGATCCCAGCATTAGGCAAGGTATAGAGGGAAAGAATCCTCTTCTGCAAGCTAGTATCCAATCCTATTTGAGATCACGTGTAGGCTAAAAACGTCCCCCCATCCAATTGCACGCCTTCTTGGCATCAATGGATAGAAGGCAAACAGGTAGTCTGACAGATTGAGCATGGTTCATGACCAAAAGGGTTTTCAAGGTGTTATCGTGGGCCTCCCTTCCCTGGACAAATCCTACTTGGTCTGTATGTATCACGTCTGAGAGGAGAGGCTTCAGGAGGGTGGCAATCATTTCAGGATAGATTTTAACATCCACGCCAACCAGAGAAATGGGTCGATAACTGGAGCAGAGATTCAAGTCCTAACTGGCTTAGGAAGAAGAGAAATATGAGCTTTCAAGGTTTGTGTTAGAAAAGGTTTTCTCCGCAGAGATGAAGTTAAACATATGTAACATGAAAGGGGAAAAAACATCTTTGGAAGTCTTCTAGAACTTGGGAGTGAACTCATCGGACCCTGGACGTTTGCCCGAGGGGGTCGCCAAGATAGCGCCCAACAGTTCTTCAATGCAAAAGGGGCTGTCAAGAGTCCAACAGATTGCCCATAGGAGTCTTTATGCTGGAGATGAGTATTTGAGAGGAGCGAGGGTATAGAGATTGTATCAATGGTTGACCACATTTATCACCAAAACGGTATCTGCTAAAGGCCAAGCGAAGCTGATATATGCTATGAGAAACCTCAAAAAGTTGCAATAACGAGGATATGGTGGCAGATATGGAAGCAAAGCAGTTCCTGGGAAGGAGAGCATTTATGTCAGGTCATGTAGAGTCGGCTAATTGGGTATCATTAAGACGCCAGGTCCATTCAGAATGGGGGTGCTTGCGGAGGGTACAGGGTCAGAAATAGAGGACAATGGTCTGACCATATGAGAGATCTGATATCTAGGGATGGACACCACACAAGTATATGGGAACTGGTAAAGAAATAGTCGATTCTGCTGTAGGACTGATGGGCTGATGAAAAATGTGTAGTTACGGGCCTTGGGGTAGAGCGTTCACCAGAGGTCCAGAAGACGATAGTCATGGAGTTGTTTCCTAAGGAGCCTAAGCTGACTATAGGACAGATGGGAACGTTTGGAAGAAGAATCAACGAACGGCTCCAAGGCTACATTGAAGTCGCCACCCAGCAATACCGCTCCCTCTGCAAAATCTGCCAGCAAGCGCAGGTAGCGAGTCATGGAGGTAATTTGATCCTAGTTCGGTATATAAAAATTAGCCACAGTATATTCCAAGCATGAACTTTAAGAAAATATATTGACCATTGAGATCAACCTTGTGCTCCAGAGAGAGGACTTGGAGACGTTTATGTATAGCAATGGAGACGCCCCTGGTTTTTGTTGATGGGAGAATATAATACATTTTTGGTTTTGGGTTTAACCACTTGCCCTCCAGAGGATTTACCCCCCTTCCTGACCAGACCATTTTTTGCATTATGGCGCTGCGTTACTTTAATTGACAATTGCGTGGTCATGCAACGCTGCACCCAGATTAAATTTGCGTCCTTTTTTTCCTACGAATAGAGCTTTCTTTCGGTAGTATTTGATTGCCTGTGCAATTTTTTATTTTTTGTGCTATAAAAAAAAAAAAAAGACCGTCAATTTTGAGAAAAAAATATATATTTTTATCTTTTTGCTATTAAACGTCCAGTGAAAAAATGTTAAAAATCAAATTTCGGCATAAATTTAGACCAAAATGTATTCTGCTACATGTCTTTGCTAAAATAAAAATCACAATATGTGTAAATTGGTTTATGGGACAGTTATAGCGTTTACAAATGGTGGTATATACTGTATACTGGGTTTTTATTTTTTTTTTAGTAGTAATGGCGGCGATCAGTGACTTATTGTGGGACTGTGGTGGGCATTCTGACACTGGGGGGGAACTGACCATTTTACATAGTGTGCTGTGTTAGTGCTTCACTGCAAGCGCATTGCTTTTGTATGGCTGTGCCATGCAAAGCAGTGTGCAGGAGCTGACAGGAGAGAGAACTGTATTGTGTACAAACAGTTCTCCCCACCAAACCCCCCCCCCCCGTCGGAGATGCTCAGCAATCACCAGGCGCCGACGAGTAATTGCTGGGCAGAGTCCGGTGATTGACAGCCGAGGCCGTGAATGGCGGCATGGGTAGGGCGCGCGCGTGGGCCCCCTACCCGGAACTGCAAAATCACATACATGTGCATGCTTTTGCGCACCGGTGCTACCCTGTAGCAGTACTTCTGCTATAAGGCAGATGGGAAACTGTTAATACCACTTTATGCCTCATCTTCCTGAGTTTGATAGGTTTCCTCTAGCACCTAGTCATCTGAACACTGTCTCCTCATCCTTGCTATATACACAAAAGTATATGCCATTGATCCCTTATATGGTTAACCCTAGGGCTGCATTCACACATAGGCGTTTTGAGAATGAGTGCAAAAATACAGTGTATATGTGTGCATTTTTTGCCACATGCATAGGGCAACCCATTGATATCAGTTGGCTGCCCTATGCAAAGCAAGCATGCCAAAGTAGCAATTTGAGCGTTTGAGCTTTGCACATTTTTAACTGTGTGTGATTTTTTGTCCACTTGCCGCTTTTGTTAAATGATTTTCAAGTGTTTCACTCACGCAAAAAAAACATGCGTCCACTTGCTGCATTTGGGGTGACATTAACAATTGCGTGCACTGCTTGCATGACACATGATTTTCAAGTGTCTCATTGAAAACACACGAAAAAAACATTTCATTCTAATTTTGCACATTTTTCTTTTTCTTAATAAAGTTGCTCACTAACTAAAAACAATATATATAAAAATATATACTTTTTTTTTTCAAAATATAGGAGGAAGGGGATTAATGGCAAATGCTTATGCAAATAAAGTAAAAGAAAACCACTTGTCTTGGGGTACCCCTGGGCATAGGCAGTCGGAAGTTCAGGCAACATTTGACCACATTTTACTACCTATTACAGCTGCCATAGACACAATATTTGACTTGGTTATCATCACCAGTTGCCTCTGGAGGACTAATTGCAATCATGACATGTTTTCTAACTTGTCTAACCAAAGTTACACAGGTAGCCCGGAGAGTTGTTTTGGTATTATGTTAATAAAGGCACACTTTACGCTAATGAAAAATCTGTGTTTGTATGTTTTGAGTATGCTTAATCCAGTGCAACCTCATTTCTGTTTAATTTTAGACACCATGGAGATATTTAAAGACCCTTTTACTTCCAGTTGTCCTGCTGGTATTTATCGTCATTTGTGCCCGGGTATGTAATGGGAGTAATATGATCGCATTCAGTCATACATAGGCAAACGTGAAGCTGTTCTGAGTGTTGTACAGTGAGGCTGATTTTAAAAAACTGTAAGAAAGTTACTGTGTTGCCCACATGTAAAAGCAAGTTTATATTTTTGGTCTGAATTGCAAACTTGGCAACTGGGATCTAAATCCATAAAGAAAAAAAAATCTTTCTTTGTTCTACATTTTGTACAACACCCCAGTGTGTCGTACTCATACATACAAGTTTCAAAAAAGTGTAGATTTATATTTGTTTAACCCTTTCACTAACAGCCATTTTTGTGTGTTTGAACACATTTTAAAATTCATTTTAGGCCTGAAGATAAGTTAAAACCCCCAAACATTATATATTTTCTGAAAGCAGACACCCTGGAAAAAAAAAAAAAGTACTTCCAATTTTTATATTCACATGATATTTGCACAAAAGTTTATCCAAGACAAACCTTCAGTAAAAATACACTCAAGTTTATTTTAGCTCACACAAATGCATTATAATATCCAGTTTTTGGTAAAAAAAATAAAATGTCAAGTTGTGCTGAGTAAATAGATACCCAACATGACCAGCTTTAAATTTGTATGTGTCCACAAAATTATCACAAACTTCAGTACCTATATTTTCCATGGGCACAATTTAAAAGCCTATACAGGTCATCAGTTTAGAGTTTATCCTGAATAATGGGCGTAGAATTATTGCTCTCACTCTGGTGTGAGTGGTGGTATGTAACATGGGCATTGCAAGTGATGTTTTTGTACCTAGGTGCCCCTGATTGGTGCATTTAAAGTGGCGTTCCACTCACTCTGTAAAAAAAATAAAAGTCAGCAGCTACAAAAACTGTAGCTGCTGACTTTTAAAACAACAGCCATTCACCTGTCCCATGATCCCGCGTTGACCTGCTTTCACTGGCCATCCTGTATTCCAGGCGCCGGCATCTTCAGTGTGGGCACCCGGCTGTGAGAGCTTGCGGTGTAGTGTGTGTGTGCGCGTGTGTGTGTGGGTGTGTGTGTGGTGTGTCTGTCGGGTGTGTGTGTGTGTGTGTGTGGCAGGGGACCAATCTTTGTGTTGTTTGGGTGTGTTTGTGTGTGTGTGTGTGTGTGTGTGTGTGTGTGTGTACATGGGGCAGATGCTTGGATGTAATTTTTTTTTTAACTTTTTACATTAGCTCACACTTTATATCACACGGGGTAAAAAGTTCTTTGTGATGTAATATTTTTAAAATCGGTTTTCTTTGATGATTCGTTAGAGACTTTAGACGCTTGATGTCTCACCTGCCTTATATTGAAGCTACAAAGAAACCAAGCAGGGCGTCAGATTAGAGTATGGTTAAAAACAACACTATAATTCCATTTCTCACTTACATCTGAAAGACCTGTAGACTGCTCCAGGTATCAGAGTGGTGGTACAATATACAGCTCACCGCAATCTGGATGGACTGATGGGAGCTGTAGGACACAAGCAGGGACGCACTGCAAAATGGTAAATCAGCGATGTCTCTCCTCTCACTCACAGCACTAACAGGAAGGCAAACAGGAGAATGGGACAGGCTGTGGGGGGGGGGCTTGAAAAAGAAGGCATGATCTTGGAAATGCGTTGCGGTTTTCTCATCAGTAGTATGTAGCAGTCTTGTGACTTCTATCAGTGTCCAGATGAGCACTGGTTAATCTTGTAGGAGGATTTTTCATTCTCCTCTGACTGTCCTGTGAGGCTGCATGACCCCTGACCCTCTGTTTGGACAGTGCTAATTGGTCCAGTGCTCATCACATGCACCCTCCAAAAGGAAAAAAAAAAAAACTCTAGCAATACACACCAAACTGAGCATGTGCACAGTGGCTCCTGGGGGTTTGTACTATCAGCAGATGGATTGGGGACAGTGGAAGAAAGGGAGGATCAGAGAAGACAGGATCACACAGCCTTTTTACATAATACGGAGGATCAATACCTTGGGTTCCACAGTGCGTATATCCAGCATGCTTTACTGCATATATAGACTGATTTTACTGTTGGGGGTTTAGTAACACTTAAAGTGTAGATATTGATTTAAGCATCTTGTTTTAAGCACCAAAGATTGTGTGGATATTAAAGCACTTTTGGGATTTTTTTTTTACACTTTATACGGACACTTTAGCGTTGCAGATGGTCATTGGGTTTGATCACTTTTAATTATGTGTAGAACACATTCTGTTTAATTATGCAAGGACAATGCGTATTTTTCTGTACTTTTTATGTGCAGTGTATGAGCAGTTCTTATTATCTTTGCTGTATTTGATACTGTATGATTTACAGTATTATACAATAATCAAAAGAGACTCGTATGATCATGCGTGAATCTTATAGCTTTGCAAGGTGTATAGCACTTGTTTCAGTCCATCCTGACCATACGGTGCACTGATATTTGATAGAACATCTGAAAAGTAATTTGTAGCTTATGCTTCATGGGATGAATTTTTGATTTCTTTAAATATGTTTTCCAGAGTAAAAATAGCTCTTTAAAACAATTAACTCCTATACGTACAAATATTTAGTGATGAAATCTAAGAACAACATTAAGTTACACTTCCATTTTATTTTCTTTGTTAGGTATTTAATATTCGTGTACATTATTTTGTAAATTGTTCTTTTTTTCAGACTCTTAAACATATGTTTTATGGTAGCCAAAGTGCCATTCGAAGAGGAGAAAATGAGAGGTACGTTTTGTATTTTGGCAGAACACTTGGTAATATTAAAACATCGTGTATTCTTGATTATAAAAAGTGTTGAGAAATCAGTGTACTATTTAGTGACATTTAAGCCTGTTGAATAATTCTGCTGTTTTGAAATACCGTATATCTCAGAATTATCACTGTAGGGCAGCATATTTAGCAGTCTTGGGAAATATATCACCTCAGAAACCATATGATGAATTCTAGCTTATATGGAGACGAGCTGACAACTGAGACTGCTTGTAATATAGGATGTTAGACAGAAAAACAACAATGTATTGAGGAGTCTCACAGTTTTCTAAGCAGCTAATCTCTATATGAAGAAGCCACATACAGTGATTGACCTTTATAAAAAAAATTATTTACCTTTTGTAGGAAAAATGCAGGTCTCAGGCAGACTGCAAACTATTTGAATTAGGAATGAGAGAACTATCAATGTGTTCCTACTGACAAAAAAGAGACACAGGGAGTTTTCCCCTAATTAACATACAATGAAGAAGCCCAGCTCCTAAATCTTTAACCCTTTGTTAGGACAGATAGTGTTCAGATCTAATGTACAACTAATAATGACATCTGACATCACAGTACACACAGGGTTAATTATGGTAAACAATAATTCCCCAGCCCCCTCTGTATAGTAGAGGAAAACATTTGTTTTGGAATTTTTAATAGGAGCAAGGAAATGGTAAGCACCAATTTTTATTTTGTAATTTTTTTTTTAAGTTATGCTGTGCGAATGAAAACATGTAGAAGACATAAAGCAGGTGTTCTCCCAGTTCAGCTGCAAAAGTGGAAATACACTTTAAAAACCCTACCTACCTTTCCCCTGCTATGTATTGTTAAAAAGGGGCTGGGGAGCTAATGTTTACCACAATTAACTGTGCTGTGCTGCCTGCCTTATCTGTTGTAACCTAGATTTGAATATTGTCTGTCCTTAGAAAGGGATACAAATATTTCTGCAAAATAAAGTGGAGGGGGGTTTCAAATTGTACTGCAAAAGAGGAGCAATGGCAGGTGACCCCAGAAGAGGAGGTTCGGGCTACTCTTTGTAAAACCATTGCACAGAGCAGGTAAATATGGCATGTTTGTTATTTAAAGGAAAATCATAGCCAAAGCTTTTTGGCTATGCTTCTCCTATGGACTACAGGAGTGCAGTTTGTTCTTCACTCCTGTGACCCGCTGCCAACTGACGCCACAGCCGGTCCAGGCTCTGAAAAGATCCCAAACATATGACTGGGGTCTACCCAGAAGCCTTAATCGGCAGCTGGCTCAGCCTCTCAGTGATCTGCAGAGAGCTTGAGCCAACCACTCCTGCCCCCTTCACAGCCCAGTGCTGGAGGGGGCAGAACAGAGAGCTGGAGACTGACAGCCATGGCTCTCTGTTCAGAGCAGACTGGGAGAACTGAGTGGTCAGCGGTGTTTGATCGCTCAGATTTCAGTGCAGGGGGACAGATACTGCTACCACCTAGGTGAGTACTAGGTTATTGTTTTTTTTAAAGCCCATACTTTTCTTTTAAAATCAAAAAAAGATTTTATAAATTTACAATCACATTAAGGCCTTTCTCTCTTTTCAGAGGGGAACATGCTGTCAGTGGAGAGGTAAGAAAAATTAAATGATTTCTTTTACGGTTCACTAAATCCATTTGGTTTCCACAGTTATATTCTGCCAGTATACAGTATGTTTCAGAAGGTAGTACATATACAGTATATTACTATGATGCATACCTTTATATTGTTCAGAAACAGAACAGAATTCTCTCTTATCAGCATTGACAAGTTTTAATCGATGCTTTTTTGGCCCGCAGCCACAATAAAAGTAGCTGCACAGAGACTGTACACATAGCACTTGTACACCCCTTTGCAAATGCTATGTGTACACCAGATGTAGTCTTTGGACTGTTTTTTTTCCTGTCCCAGCTGTTTGGCCTTGTTATGACTGACAGTCTTTTTAATTGGCAGTTGTTATTAATATCTTACACATGCTTAGTTTCGGATCATAATTGTGGTATGCATTTTGTACCTATTATGTATTACACTGTTTATTGTAAGTGGTAGTGGAGGGTAAAGCATCAGATCATCCTGATCTTGGTATGAGTCGAAGCTTTTAAGGGCAGAGGAGAGATCTGCTGTCTAATGGACCTGTCTCTGCCTATTGCTGTCACAGGGGATATTTACATACCTTGTAATAACAGTAAATGTGGTGAAAAAAAATGTAAAAAATTTTATTTTTGATTTTTTTTTTTAATTTTTAAAGTGCCCCCTGTCCTCCTGTGCTCATGTTCATAGGCGAATGCACGCATGAGGCCCACACTCCTACATTAATCGCAATCTCACCACACGTGAGGTATCACCGTGAACAACAGATTGAGAACAATAATTCTAGCACCAGACCTCCTGTGTAAATCTAAAGTGGTAACCTGTAAAGGTTTTTAAAACATCTCCTATGGATAATAAAATGCACGTAGTTTGTCACCGTTGCAAGGGCGTGCGCAAATTTAAAGTATGACTTGTTTGATATCTCTTTACTGGGCATAACATCATCTTTTATATTTTACCAAGCAATCAAAATATAATATTGTGTTTTTGTGCATTAAAATTCATTAAAGTGTATTTTTTTCTAGAAAAATTGCAATTTAGAAACCGCTGTGCAAATACCATGTGACATAAAATATTGCAACACCCACCATTTTATTCTCAAGAGCCTCTGTTTTAAAAATATATATAATGTTTGGGAGTTCTATGTAATTTTGTAGCAAAAAATACTGATTTTCACACGTATCAGAAAGTGTCAAAAAAGACCTTGTCTTAATGAACATTTTATGAAACTTTGCTTCCATGTTTGCAGGGCATGTTGGGCTTTCTAAGAAAGCCTAGCACTTCATACTTTTTGGCAGTCTGTTAATCCTCTAGATTGAATTATAATTCAAGGAGGTCCAGTCACTAAAATTTTCATCCAGCTGAGGTCCGATTCTCAAGTTTGTGCTATCAGAGTGCGCCTTTACCTCAGGTGTGCCCATTGGAATGGCCTTTAACATCAGAGCACCCCTTTACATCTGGTGTGCCCACCACAGTGCCCCTTTGTATCTGGTGTGCCCACCACAGTGCCCCTTTGCATCTGGTGTGCCCCTTTACACCAGAGTGCCTCTTTAATTCAGGTGTGCCCATCAGAGTGCACCTATACATTAGTAGAGTCCATCAATGTGAACATTGTATCTAAGGCATATGTCCTTGTAGACAGGAAGGCAGAGGGCCAGAACTGGGAGAAGAAGCATACTGCAGTGGGTTTTAGGCGGAGAAGCTTGCTGCATGAGGCAGGGCACACACTTGACGTCATTGGTTGCTAGGATGCTGGCGGTCCTAGCAACCAATGATTGCTGTGCAGCGGGGTTCCGGCTGGTAGGCTAACAAACTGGGCTGGTGTTTCTAGACCACGGTCCGTACTGAAGGATGCTCTAGATTAAATACTGATGTTTCTGCTAGGAGAGGAGCTGAGGTTTGTCCCTCCTGACCCTTTTGCATATTTTTTTTTTTTTCTTTTTTCTAGCATAGCAGCGGCCTGCTGGTTGCCCACGGTAAATATTAAATGACCATGTACAGTACTTCTTTCATCTTCCCTTGACACCTTTTTCCCATTAACAACTCAAACCGTCTCATTCACTTGCCCAGCTCCATGGTTTAATTCTCACTTACGTTCACTGAAGGTAGTCTCTTGGAGACTTGAATGTAGGTGGCCCCGTTCAGGGTTGTCTGTGCACTATCAGGTTTGAAAAGATCATTTGTGTATCTATAAGGGTCAAACTGAGACAGTTAGATCAAAAATATTTCTCCCATGCCATAGAAAAAAAATCATAGCAAGCTTAGACAACTCTTCTGCACCATCGATAGATGATTAAAACCTCCCAGTCCCTCCACATTACCAGCCTCAACACAGCTCTGTAACACATTCTTAGATTTTTTTTTCTTCTCAAAAAGTTACAAAATAAGGCAACAAATTCTTACCTCACCACATGTTTTTTAATATATCACTTCCTGACCCACCCAGTTTTACTGGTTCTTTTCTCTTCCACTTCTCTCTACTTGACTCTGCATCTATGATTAAATTGGTCTCTAATATGAAATCTTCCACCTGCATAATTGATCCAATTCCCATTTATTTATTTAAATCCTGTTCTCTATGCCCCATTATTTCAATATCATAAATGACTCCCTTAGCATCTGTTCTGTAACAACGATCCTTAAAACTGTCGCTGTCACCCTGGTACCAAAAACAAAACAACATGACTCTGGGCAATTTAAAGAACTTTCACCCTATATCTAACTTACCCTTCCTTGCCAAGATCTTCGAGCGAGTTGTGATATCTCAGTTACATAACCACCTGGCTTTAAATAACCTATTTGAACCCCTCCAATCTGGTTTTCGGCAACTGCACAGCACAGAAACCACCTTGGTTAAAGGCACTAACGATCTTCGGTTAGCTTCTGATTCTGGCTCATGAACTATTATCCTACTTGATCTTAGTTTTGCCTTTGATACTGTAGACCACAATCTTTTACTCCCTTGCCTTGAAACCATATTTGGAATCTTAGAATTGGCTCTGAAATGGATTAAGTCCTATCTTACTGAACACTGTCACTTTGTTTCTGTTGGCAGATTTCAGTCTGAAGTCAGTCCAGTCAAGTACGGTGTTCCTCGGGCTCAATCTTGGGTCCCTTACTTTTTCAGAATTTACATGTCCTCTTGGCCAACTGCTAGATCACATGGGCTCAATTATCACTTCTATACTGACGACACTCAGATATACATCCATGCTAAACCAGATTCTACATTGGCTGCTTCTCTCTTTTTGAACTGTATGTAAGATATAAAAACTTGGATGGCCCAAAACTTCCTTCAATTGAACTGTGACAAGACTGAAGTCATGCTTATTGGCACCCCCATCAATTGTGTAAGGCCAGTCCTGGTAGCCTATCTATGGATGGCACACTTGAGCTTCAGTCTAAATTTAGGGGTGATATTTGTTGCTTGCCTAACCTTTGATCCACGTATAAAAAAATGTTGTCAGAACATCTTTTTTCCACTAGAAACATAGCTTGGCTGCGTCCTGTGCTATCAAACACTGTAGCTGAAAAGCTGATCCATACATTTGTGTTTCTCCCGATTTTGACTATTGCAATGCTGTACTATTAATTTACTACAATATGTACAAAATTCTTCAGCCAGAATCCTCACTAGCTCTGGTACAAGTTACCATATTACCCCTGTCCTGCAGTCCTTGCCACCTGTCAGGTTTCACATAGACTTTAAGATCCTCTTGCTCATCTATAAAGCTCTTTATGGCTTGGCACCCCATTATCTTTCTGTCTAAACTTTTATCAACTTACTCCCCCTATCATAACCTCCGCTCTTCAAATTCTGGTCTACTGTGTGTCCCCCTACTTGCCTACACTTGATGGGAGACAGAGCCTTCTCCTGCTATGCTCCAAAACTGGGGCATTCTCTTCCAAAGAACATCAAAGAATCATTGTCTCTAAACTCATTCAAATCAAATTTAAAAACGTTTTTCTTACGACAGTTTTCACTTAATGGTCCCTTGTTTTCCTTTGTTTTATCCTGTGTATTTCTTGTTTGTTTTATTTGTAAAGGGCTTTGAAAAGATACCTTTTAAAGGTGCTATATAAAATAAAGATTATTATTTCCTATTTAAACCACTTACCTACTGGGCCTTTTTTGACATTTCCCACATACATGTACAAATCTTCATGTTTTCCAGAAACAAATTACGTAGAACCCCCAAACATGTATTTTCTGAAAGCAAAGGCCCTGAAGAAATGATGGTTGTTGCAATTTTTTATGTTACATGATATTTGCGCAGCAGTTTATCACAAAACACATTTTCAGGAAAAAATACACTTTAATGAATTTTATTGCACACAAATACAACATCATACCCATTTATTCATAAAATATAAAATAATGTTACTCAAAAAAATAGATACCTAATATTTCACGCTTGCCTGTGGAATGGTGACACACCTGTAGAATGGCATCAAACTACAGTACATTAAATTATCCAGGCAGCATTTTAAAAGTCTTTATAGGATATCTGTTTAGAGTTTTAACAGGAGGTCGGGCACTAGAATTATTGCTCTCACTCTGATGTTCATGGTGATACCTCTGTGTGGTGCAATTACAGTTTACATATGCGCATGGGATCTACATGTGCATTAGCACATGAGCACAGGGGGACTGGGGTGCTTTAAATTTAAAAAAAAAAAAAAAAATTATACTGTCTCTTTAAATTTTTTTTGTATCAACTTTGCTGCTATCACAAGGGATAAACCATGTCCCCTGTGATAGCATGGGCAGTGACAGATGCTTTTTACTGAGACATCTGGGCTCTGTTAGACCCCAACATCTCTTGAGATCAGTTTGATCACATGCTTGCCTAGCCGGTAACAGCTTTTTTAAACAGCAAACTAAAACTGGCAGTGGCAAAATCCTCTTCACTTCCGGCCTCATTGGTTTCAGAGAAGGGGAGGGAACGGATATAACTTCCACTCCTCTGTACTCAGCCAGCTGGGCAGTGTGTAGCAGTCTCGGCTCCCCAATCACATCAGACAGCTGCAGCCATGATCCTGGTATCACCACTTGCAGATGAGGATGTATATGTACCTACGGCAGGGGCGGACTGACAACTCATGGGGCCCCTGTGTCCTTGCCCAAACTCAAAAAAGCCTATGAAAAATGTACCAGGGACATCTCATGGGGCCCCCTACTGATCCCGGGCCCTCGGGCAGTTCCCTAGTTTCCAAATGGTCAGTCCACCCCTGACCTACGGTGGTCAGGAAGTGGTTAAAAAGAAATAAAACAAAATAGATTTTGTTAGTGCAAACACAATAAATAATATAAGAACACTATAGATGACCATTTGTAAGTCCATACATTACAGTACTTCAATAATAAAGAGGGTTTTTTTTTTTTTTTTGTTTTTTTTTCACAGTTGTTATATCATGCCCTTCAGCTGGTGGCGTTTGCTGTACTTGCCATTTTAATAATGAGGTTAAAATTATTTCTTACACCTCACATGTGTGTAATCGCTTCCCTCATATGCTCCAGACAGGTAAGAGTGCTATGCTCTTAAAGAATATTCCAGCATGCATATTGTATAGATGGTGGTCCAAAGTACCTGTGTGTTTCTAATTACTTTCATTATATTGCAAATCTATTCATGAATCTGAACACAAATATTCTGACAATATTTTGGTATCCACAATATCATTGAATGTGGTAAACAACATATATGACCACACAAGTTGTCTTCATGAGTTTGGGGGTCAGAAGGAAAAGTTGAGCTGCTTTCTTAAGAGTGGTGATTTCTTGGCATACTTTGTCAGTGGATGAAGATAGGTTATGTACATATAACCTTAACTTTTTGGACTTCACATATATTTATCTTTGGGTTTTGACACGAGTGTATATATGAATTCTGTATGAAATTGCACAGATATATTTAGTTAAGAAAATGGATCTACACTGATGCATATGGCATCTCCTTATATTTTGAATTGATATTTTGCTTAATTGTTTGAAATGAGTGTGTGTTGTGATTTTAACGTTTTTGTTTTTTTTAGGCCACAGCTTAGTTATATTATTGATATCTCAATGTGAGTGATGGGTTGTAAGAAAAAGAAACCTTTGACTTTTTTAAGCAATTAAGACAATGAACGAATACAACACAGGATGTTTGAAAGGATCATTCTGTTAACAAAGGAGCAAAAGAAACAATTGCTTATTTCCTGTGGAGATTGTCAGAAAAGATGCATTTACATTGTTTTAAAGTCTTTCTCTACTTAAAGCCTACATTTTAACAAAAGTGTTTCTAAAGTATCATTTTTTTTAAATTAAAATAATAACCATGTTATACTTATCTGTTCTGTGCAGTGGTATTGCACAGAGCAGCCCTGATCCTTCCATTCTGGGGTCTTCCACCAACACTCTTGGCTCCTCCTCTTTTCCATCTGTCCCAATATTAAGCCATTTGCTATGGGGGCAGAATTTTGGGCTCAATCCCAAGCGAGGCTGTGTGCATCTATTGACAAACACAGCATACTGCATCTATTCATTGTTTGTAGCCTTAATACAGGCAATGTATTAAGGTAAAAAATGTTTTCGCTTTAGAACCACTTTAAAACAAAAAAATAAAACTTGGCACAAGAGATATTACTTACCTTCAATTCAATGTGTCCTCTGTGCTGCTGACTTCTGGTTCAGTAGAAATTTTTCTTCTGATAGCTGCCCACACCAGAAATAATGCGTTTTACCATGCAGGCTAGTGTGAACCAGTCGTAAGAGATCCCCAAATACAGAGAACATAAAGGGCAGGAATATGATATGGAGCTAAAAAACATTTATGTGTACGTAACATAGCAGAGGCTTTGTCTAATGCATATATTTTATTTTTATTATATTATTACAGCTGTTTGGGTGGATCGTCAAAAGATTCCATTATCCAGTGGTCATCCTTCTTTTAGCATTAATGTCGATACAAGGCATCAGCAACATTCAAAGCCAACTAAATATTAAAGGAGAGTTTAGCAACATAGCTCAGGAAGAACTACTGGAATGGATCAACTCCAGTACAAAACCAAGTAAGTCTACTCCTTTTTTTTATGCTACTTTTTAGCGTAACATTTACCAGCATATGAAATTGTGCAAAAAAAAAATTGCCGTATTTTTCGCTCCATAAGACGCACCTGACCATAAGACGCGCCTAGGTTTTAGAGGAGAAAAACAAGAAAAAAAATATTCTGAACCAATGGACTGCAGACACAGTACAGGAGATGGCCAGAGACTGCGGACACAGCACAGGAGATGACCAGAGACTGCGGACACAGTACAGGAGATGGCAAAAGACTGCGGACACAGTACAGGGGATGACCAGAGACTGCGGACATAGTACAGAAGACCAGAGACTGCGGACATAGTACAGATGACCAGAGACTGCAGACATAGTACAGAAGACCAGAGACTGCGGACATAGTACAGAAGACCAGAGACTGCGGACACAGTACAGGGGATGACCAGAGACTGCGGACATATTACAGGGGATGACCAGAGACTGCGGACATATTACAGGGAATGACCAGAGACTGCGGACATATTACAGGGAATGACCAGAGACTGCGGACATATTACAGGGAATGACCAGAGACTGCGGACATATTACAGGGAATGACCAGAGACTGCGGACATATTACAGGGAATGACCAGAGACTGCGGACATATTACAGGGAATGACCAGAGACTGCGGACATATTACAGGGAATGACCAGAGACTGTGGACATAGTACAGATGACCAGAGACTGCAGACAGTGCAGGGGATGACCATAGACTGCAGACAGTAAAGGAGATTACCAGAAACTGTGGACCTTTGGGGAGGGAGGGGGAGCGGGTACCTGAATTTGACAGGTACCCGCTCCCACTTCCGGCAGCTTCTGTGACAGCCGGGTACCCACTGCGCATGCGCGAGAAGAGCTGCACTTTGGGAATGGCCCAGAGCCTTCTGGGACCTGTCATGTGTCCCAGAAGACACCGGACCATTCACAAAGCGCAGCGCTTCTCGCGCATGCGCAGTGGGCACCCGGCTGTCACAGAAGCCGCCGCGGGAAGACTGCAGCGCTGGAGCGAGGAACAGGTAAGGTCCTGCAGGAGAGGAGAGCTGAGCGGCTGGCCCGGTATTCTGACATGGTGGTGGCGGAAATACCGGACCGGCCGCTTTATATTCGCTCCATAAGACGCACTGACATTTTCCCCCCTTTTTTGGGGGGGAAAAAAGTGCGTCTTATGGAGCAAAAAATACGTTAAAAGTAAAGCTTTACGTGTACTTCCCAGGTCTTGTGTTCATGTTCTCTGAACATGGCATTGTGTCTGCATGAAGTTTGGCATATGTTACCCAATAAATGTCCATACTATATAAGCCCTGATTCATACCGGTGCAACTTGTCATATGATTTGACTGTTTCAAGTCTCGCCCTATTTTCGGCAATGAAATTGTTCGAATCGGTGAGACTCCAACTTTGCGGTGCCACACCAGTTTGAGTCGCACGATTTCAAGGTCTGATCCAGTGTGAACCAGGGCTACGTGTCTTTAGCAAGGAGAAATAACAATAATGTATTTTTGTAACACAGATGCCGTATTTGCTGGTGCAATGCCCACAATGGCAAGTGTTAAGCTATCAACAGGGCGTCCCATAGTCAATCACCCACACTATGAAGATGCTGGTTTAAGGTGAGATTTTTGTTGTAGGAAGTCTCAATAGATTTATCGACAGAATTACTTTTGGCACAGAAAATGAATGTAAAAATGTATGCAACTATGCCTCTCACATGAAACCTATCCCTAATCATTTATATGACCCCATTTACATTACCCCAACACTAAATCTAAGTGACAAAATAATCCCCTAACATCCAACTCCTTTTCTAACTATTAATAAATGTTGGATGTTATTGGTGGCTCCTGTGAGCCCTCCTCGGGACATAGACTGACGGCTGTCAGTGACAGATGTGGGCCAGCTGTAAACCCAGTAGCTAAAACAATCAGCTCCTTGTGTTCAGATCATTCCATTTTTGTGTTGTTTACATCAGAAGGGATGGGAAGTGTGGCATCACAGCACTTCCTGTTGTCAGTACGGAGGCTATGACACAGCTAATACAGCTCGATCCCTCCTTTCCTTACAATAGTAGATCACTGCTGTAGTAATGTGTTGCTGGCTGACTGCCAGGAACATAAGTGATCTGTTGCATGGGGCTCTGGATCTGGTCACTACTGACCAAATCTACCCCCCCAAGAAAGAAAAAAGTTAAATAATAAACAAAAGCGTAAAATACAAAAGATACAATGTGTATGTACTGTGTGTGTGTATGTATAGATAGATAGATAGATCTCTATCTCATACACACGTACACAGTGTAGTGTATACAATCTCCTAGGAATGAATAAAAATATTTTCTCCCCAGATTAACCCCCAGATGGTGGCAACACTGATGTTGGATGATTTGTATGACATTTGTGTTCACTGTGAAAGCAGCAGATGCTCACGTAAGTGAACACAATGTTTATTCAAATTTTTAGTGATCTCAAACCTGTGAAAACATCACTGTCATGCCAATGTGTTCCCTTGTCAACTCAATGTTGTCATACCTTTTTAAAGTGATTCTAAAGGTTGAATTTATTAAAAATAAAAAAAATCATACTTATGGTTTTGCACAGAGCAGCCCTGATCCTCCCCTTCCGGTGGTCCTGGCTCTCCCCCCTGCCGAGTGCCCCTAATAGCAAGCCTTTTGCTATGGGTGCACTTGAACAGATTCACTCCAAGCCACATTCCTGTGAATGGACATTTGCGTGCGACTTGACTCCCGCCTACTCTTCATTGGCTCACTGGCTGTGATTGACAGCAGCAGAAGCCAATGGCTCTTGCTGCTATGTGACCCAATAAGGAGAGTCCTGGGACAGCCGAGGCCCCCATGCACATCGGTGGATCAAGATGGGGCTCGGGTAAGTATGAGGGGGGAGCTGCACCCAGAAGGTTTTTTACCTTCATGCATTGAATGTAAAAAAAAACCTTTTGCCTTTAGAATTACTTTAATGTTATGCTATCAATTTACTCAAACTGTTTTTCCCCTGCGTGTTCTGCTTTGTAGCTTCAAAAGGGGAATAAAAAGGTATACATTCACTGAGCTTTATCATTTTGCTACATTACATAAATCGTTGCAATTTAGTGATGTAGTTTTAATCAGCAAACTTTATTGATAATATTTTGGGGTACATTTATGGGGCTGCAAAAAAAATGTAAATGCTACATTAGGAAAAATTGCAGGGAATTTAATTTGTCATTAAAATACAATGACTCTTACTGTTGTGGTATCTTCAGCCACACAACTGCCGTTGAGTGAATATTTTTGCACCATTTTTTTTGTAAACTCTAGAGGTGATAGCTTGAGAGAGGGGATCAGTAGTTTTTAGGGATAGTACAACTACCTCAACTGGCACTGACAAAACTGGATAGTAAGTTAAAGTATAACTATACTGCATCTGAGCACCACAAACCAAAAACGCTATTTAATTAATTTTTAACATTCAAAGCAAACTCGCCCATCCATCCATGTCTTCATTTTGCTGAAAAACACTCTACAAAACACCTCCCTAGCGTTTCGGCTGTGACCTTGTTGAATAAGGGCAGACGATTCCCTGGAATCCATCTGCCATTAGCTAAGGCATGCATGCAGGAGGGTGTGCTTAACTGAGAAAACCGCTCCTTGGCTCCTGAAACCTCCATTATTTGATTAGGCCTAGAAATCAGGAATTAAATAAAGTTTAAGTAAATATAATATGCCTTCCTATCTATTTACTAATGCTAGCAGCAACAAGATTACTAATTGTCAATAAAGATGGAGAGAGTATAGTTCCACTTTAAGCAGCTAAAACTAGAAATCATATGTAAACTTTTGCTATTTATTCCCATTGAATTTTCCATTTTAATTTTAATTTTTTAGAGAGAGAACAAAACGAGTTTATTCAATGTACAGTCGTAAACCTGCTAAAGAAGTAAAGAAAATCCTGATGAAAATGGGAGTGCATTACTTCATATTGGAAGACGGATGGTGCACACGAAGAACAAGGTAATGTGAGGAAATGGATACAGACAGACAGAATCTGGATTCTGATTGGGTTGTATCCTATATATATTTTTTTTTCGCCAGGTCAGAGGTATGTAGTTTTAGACAGAAGAGAGGCTAAGGTAGTATCTGTTTTATATGAGAAAGTACAAATAGTGTTTACAGTTAGTGTATCTAATACAGACTTTTTTTTTTTTTTTACAAAGTTAACCACTTGCCTACCGGGCACTTATACCCCCTTCCTTACCAGGCCAATTTTCAGCTTTCAGCGCTGCCGCACTTTGATTGACAATTGCGCGGTCATGCAACATTGTACCCATATGAAATTTTGATCATTTTTTCCTCACAAATAGAGCTTTCTTTTGGAGGTATAGCCCCCGCTGGGCGCTTTACTTTTTGCGCTATAAATAAAAAAGTACAAAAAATTTGAAAAAAAAAAAAAGTTTCTTTGTTTCTATTATAAAATTTTTTAAACAGCATTTTTTCTCCTTCACTGATGTGCGTTGATGAGGCAGCACTGATGGGCACTGATAGGCGGCACTGATGGGCACTGATAGGCAGCACTAAAGGGCACTGATAGGCAGTACTAATGAGGTGTCACGGATAGGCGGCACTGATAGACAGCACTAATGAGGTGTCACGGATAGGCGGCACTAATATGCAGCACTGATAGGCGGCACTGATAGGTGACACTGATGATGGGTACTGATAGACGGCACTGACTGGCATCACTGCTGGGCACTGACTGGCGGCACTGACTGACACAACCCCTGGGCACTGACTGGCAGCACTGCTGGGCTGCACTGGTGGGTGGGCACAGGTGGGTGGCACTGGTGGGCACAGGTGGGTGGCACTGCTGGGCACATGTAGGTGGCACTTCTGGGCACAGGTAGGTGGCACTGCAGAGTGGCACAGGTGGGTGCACTGCTGGGCACAGGTGGGTGCGCTGCTGGGCACGGGTGGGCGGAGCTAGTGGGCGCACTGCTGGGCGGAACTTGCGGGTGGCACTGCTGGGCACCGATCATCAGGGCACTGATCAGTGCCCTGATGATCGGTGCCGATCCCCGCTCTGACAACTGCCGGTTCTCGGCAGTACTTTCTTCACGATCTGACAGTGTGAGGAAAGTGCAGCCGAGAACCGGCACTTGCATTTTCCCTCTGATCAGCGTGTCATTGGACACCGCTGATCAGGTGGTAAAAGGCCGCTGTGATTGGCCTTTTACCACATCACGTGATCAGCTGTGTGTTCGTAGGACACAGCGATCCAGGGGGCGCGCAGGAGAGCGCGTTCTGGGAGGACGTCATATGACGTCCACCCAAACTGGCCGGCCCGCGGTGAAGCCGTCATTCGGCTATGCGCGGTCGGCAAGAGGTTAATATGTTTATAATTTAGTGTTTTTTTTTTTTTTTTATTTTACCTGACCACATTTTTTCATTCATATAATTGACTCTATGTGTGTCTTGCAGGACTGGTTGCAGCATGTCAGAGATCTGGGATATTGAAGATCCATCCAATGCTGGCAAGGCTCCATTATGTTCCATTTTATCCAAGGAGTCATTGCCACACTTTGCCACTGTTTTCGGAAATAATGTTTACAAGGTTTTAAGAGTTGGAATTTAAGTTAAAATAGGGGAAAAAAAGTTCATTCAGGATTGCTATGTTTTTTAATTTTATTGTAAATTCATTTTACAGATATTTGTAACCTGACATTTTTGTAACATAAAAACTATGCTATGCAAACCTTTATTGCTAAGAAAAACTTTTAAAAATACATGACATTCTTATTGTTCAGATAGCTGCAATTGTTTTGCTTAGTGTTGCTGAATCCACATGTAAAGAAAAGAAAATACTGTATGTATAAAGCTGCCTTAAATATTTTCAATTGGCAGAACCTTTGTTAGTTTTATTGAATAAGCACCAAAGAGAAAATTCAGTGTAAATATGTATGGAAAAATATGATGTTATATTCCAGCAATGTTTTATGTAGCCTTGTTATATTTTGAAGCAGTGTATATATTGAGCTATAGAGATCCCATTTAATGAGCAGTGTTATGGAGAAAGAGACTTTTGTGCCATAGTGCCAGAAAAGGCAGAATGACACATAACAATACATTTCAGTGCCAGTTTATAGAGCAGGAATGACATTATACACGCTATCCTACTCTGTACACCAATCTCCTTTAATTTTCAAAGGGTTATTTTATGTTTTTTTTTTTCCTTTCAGTGTTTACAAAGACGTCACCTTGCGTTTTAAATGGTCTCACTGAACCTGTCAGAAGTGCACATACGCCTATCTGTTTTAAACCTTACTATCTTGCAGCTGTGGATTTAAAAGAATTATACCTAAGAAACACGTAGACCTATTTATTATGTTAAAGAGTTGCCATAATCCATAGCAACCATTAAGATATAATTTGCAAATAACCTGCAAAAAGGTGGTAGCTGTGGCTAACTGCACATTATGGCTTTTTGCACCCTCTTTCTAATAAAAGGTTTAGCGTGCATCTATCATGGTAAAGAAAATTATTTCTACAACACAAGAAAACCAATATTATTAGAATAAAATGTCTTCTACAGTTACGGATTCATGACCATCATAAGTTGTTTAGACCTTATATGCCATTAAAGTCTGCATGGGGAACTAACTTGGCTATGTGAGTGTAGACAAATCTTAACAAATGGTGTCATCTTTGGGACTTTAGAGATGAAGCCATGTCTTTGAGGATAATAGGTGACATTTCTGGCTAGAATGGTACTGCAGCCTAACAATGGATCTTTCATATAGAAGTTAATTCACCAAATCATTTGTTCATTCCAATCAATACACATATAAGTTATTTTTGCAGCTGTAAATGTATTTTTTGTGAGGTTGTTGCGTAAGTATTTTTAAAATGGACTTTTCTTAGTTGTACAGTATGGGACATAGGACCTTTAGTCAATAAGATGCGTTATATGCAGCTTCTTTCATGTGATTGAACGTAAAAAACTGACATTTCTGATATATACCCCCCCACTCCAAGCTAGCTTTACTTTTTTGCTGTGGTCTTTAGGTGATCAAACGTTTCTCTTTGAGAGAAGCTTGCCTCTTTTCAATGGAAGTTTTTTTCCTGATTATATTTCTGTCAGAAGGCTGCATGGACCTGGCACTCATTGCTTATGTGCCACCTAATTCTTGTGTGGGTTAATGAGTCTGCACACCCTGCCTTTTCTTTTTTGCTGGGTGTGTCTTTCAGCTGTAAACAGCTCCCAGCCCTCCTCCACTGGCACAGCAGCACCACGGCCTTCCTGAAGGTAGCTGTATATAACCCATGACTAAGGATCTTGCATCCCATACTGTACTTTAAGAAAAGGATTTTACTGGCAAATCACAAATTCTATTTTACTTTATTTAAAAACCATTTAGCATTTATATACGTTAATATAAAAAACATTACTTGGGATGGGCGGAAGGGGGGGAGTGTAATTTAAGCTGCAGTTATAGTCAGGCTATAGGTGAGGCAGTTAAAAGAGAAGTAAAGGCTTTAAAAAGTATATATATATTTATACTCTAGGTCAATGCTGCATCTATCCACCCACCAGCTCTGCACATAGAACCAAGAGATCAAACACCACGAGTGCTCAGTTCCTCCCCTCCATTCTGAGCAGAGATCCATGACTGGCAGTTGGGTCAGCTAGGCACCACCTTCTGGGCTTATGTAAAGTTGTTACCTAAAATGTTGTCGTTCCTGTCCTATAGCTCATTTCAAGTGTAGACCCAGCCAAAACATTTTTTTCTTTTGGGGGGGGGGGGGGGGGGGGTAGAGCGGGGAAGGATTGGAACCAGTAATGTGTGTGTGTTTTTCTTTTTCTCTGTCCTGCCCTGTACACACACAGGCCAAATATCAGCCGGTACAGTAGATACCGACCAACATTCAGCCCATGTGTACAGGTCCTTTTTTGACAGAGGCCAATCTCACAGCCAGCTTCTGTCAAATGAGCTTGCTGGAAAACCAGCAGCCGACCGGCATCTGATGCCAATGGCTGCAAGTGCTACCAGTATGTTCTGGCAGAGGGGCGGTCCCCCTGTCAGAACACAGTAGCTCAGCAGGGAGATCGCTGTACTAACATCGCATTGTTAGTACAGAGATCCCCTTGCGAGCTCCTCAGTTTTTTGTTTTGTTTGGTCTTTTTTTCGTACAGCTCGCTGGGCTGATAAAAAAAAAAAAAAACTTTGCATGTGTACCAGGCTCTCTAAAGGTGAATGTGATTTCAACCAGACAGGAAGTGGGTGAATATCTGCAACAGAGACACAGACAAGGGATGAAATAAACTGACAGGGTTTCTAGCTTTCCCCAACTTTACTGTAAATATACACTATATTGCCAAATGTATTGGGATCCCTGCCTTTACACGCACATGAACTTTAATGGCTTCCCAGCCTTAGTCTGTGGGGTTCAATAGTGAGTTGGCCCACCTTTTGCAGCTATAACAGCTTCAACTCTTCTGGGAAAGCTGTCCACAAGGTTTGAGAGTGTGTCTATGGGAATGTTTGACCATTTTTCCAGAAGCACATTTGTGAGGTCAGGCACTGATGTCAGATGAGAAGGCCTGGCTCGCAGCCTCTATTGTAATTCATCCTAAAGGTGTTCTATCGGGTTGAAATCAGGACTTTGTGCAGGCCAGTCCAGTTCCTGCACCCTAAACTCACTCATTCATGTCTTTATGGACCCTTGCTTTGTGCACTGGGGTGCAGTCATGTTGGAACAGGAAGGGACCATCCTCAAACTGTTCCTGCCAAAGTTAGGAGCATGAAATTGTCCCAAATGTCTTGGTATGTTGATGCCTTAAGAGTTCCCTTCACTGGAACTCAAGTGCTAATCTGAAGGCCACACAAAGTTTAGAGGTCTTTAGCTATCGACTCTGCAGACAGTTGGCGCACTGTGCACTTCAGCATGCACTGACCCCACTCTGTCATTTTACGTGGCCTAGCACTTGGTGACTGAATTGCTGCTGTTCTCAGTTGCTTCCATTTTGTTATAATACCACTAACAGTTGACCGTGGAATATTTAGTGGCAAGGAAATTTAAAGGATGGACTTATTGCACAGGTGACAACCTATCACGGTACCACGCTTGGAGTCACTGAGATCCTGAGAGGGACCCATTCTTTCACAAATGTTTGTAAAAGCAGTCTGCATGCCTAGGTGTTTGATTTTATACACATGCATCCAATGATTTGGTGGGGTGCCCCAATCCTTTTGGCAATATAGTGTATTTTTTACTGTTTTGCTTTTGGATATTGTCTTTGGATAGACCATATGAAATTGATTTACTAAAGGCGAATAGACTGAACTTTGCAAAATATTTTTTTTTTTTTCATTTTCCTTACACCTAATTGGGTAGTCTTCACAAAGTGAATCTTTACCACATTGACATTTACTAAGAAAAAAAGAGTGCAACTGCACTTGGAAAGTGCACCGTCTATTTGGATTAGTAAATCCATCCCTATGTCTTGTTGGATAGCAGCAAAACTATACAGAGGTTTTATCTGTCCCCCTCTCTATCCAAAATTAAAGAAAATGTTTTGACTGGAGATGAGCTTTAGGACAAAGCAATGTACTATTTGGCCCTGTATGAATGTATGCAGTAGCAGACAAGAGCATAAATATGCCTCTAATAAGTATTTTTCTAAAGAAATGTTGACTTTTATCTGTCCTTTGATTTCTCTGTCCATTAAAGTGGTTTGCTTTTCATATGACCTGATTTCATGTAATAGGTTTTTAAAGACTATATGCTGTTAGAATTAGGGTGATTCAGTGGTTTTTTTTTGTTTACATTCTCAGAGTAAAACATTAAGTAGAAAGGTTCGACTTTGGGTGTGTTCGGGGTATCTCTGGAGAATACATATGTGTTCACATATGTGGGCAAGAAAATTCATTTACAAGGAATAGTATTCATAATGTGTATACTGGTGCCAGTTTACAACTTATGCTTTTGTTTTATTATGCTGTAACCTTATGCTTTTTCTTTGAAAATAATTACTGTTGTGCTAATTTTACTTGGTGTTAGTAAAAGTGAAACTGTAAACTGATTTCTCACATTCCCACATATGTATACTCTATATTTTTACATAAAACTCCTAGTTGGTGTACTCAAGCTATGTTGCTTTCATACATATGCTTCATATTTTGTCATTTATAGTTATAGAAAATTCACTGTGAATGCCCCTACCATTTGGATTATGTACAACAGCGTTTGTTGTATATTGTATTTTATCCATTGCATAGGCATGCTGCTGGACAGAAGTAGGGAAGTGTTTTTTTTTAAAATATTTTTGTGGCTTTAAAATTTACACTATTCAGATGTAATAATAACTTATAACATCATTACACAATTCGCGTTGAGGATGCTTATGTTTACGCTGGTGGTCCAATATATTGCCCAGTCGAAATAAAATAACAGGCATATTGCAGAGCAGTTAACATACAGGCACCTCAGCTCTTATCTCACCAGCATTTCATTACTGCCGCAGTTCACCCCTACAGCCTTAAGAAATACCTAGTACTTCAAGGTGTTGCTCAAACTGGGACACCAGTTTGACAGCCCGCCTCCCCTTTCTCTTCCCAATTATTCAGTATTGGC